TTTAAATTGAACTAATTTTAAAATTAAAAATTAATTCCCCAGCCCAGCCAGCGTTGCTCAGTGGTTGAGCATCGACTTATGATCCAGGAGATGAGGTTTGATTCCCGGTCAGGGCACATGCCCAGGTTTCGAGCTCGATCCCCAGAAGGGGGTGTGCAGGAGGCAGCCAATCAATGACTCTCATCATTGATGTTTCTCTCTCTCTCTTCCTCTCCCTACCTCTCTCTAAAATCAATAAAGATATTAAAAAAAAATTCATTCCTCAGACACACTGATCACATTTAAATAATTGAGAGCCACATGCAATTCGTAACTACTATATTAGAGATGATTATGAAGCATTTCCATCATTGCAGAAAGTGCTGATGGACAGTGCTGGCCTAGAACATAAAGTCCAAATTCCTCAGTCCAGCACCCAAACCTGTCATTTACAAGTGGCCTGTACTTCCAATATTGCCTTCTACTTTCCCTGAACACTGACACTGAGCCGTGTCTAGGCCAGGCCCTCCTGTCCCTCTAACAAATCAGGTTCATCCCCAGTTCTGTGCCTGTGCAGAATTCCCTGTCACTGAGACCAATGACTAAGTAAATCAATGCAGTCACCTAAGGAATGAGATTTTGCTGCCACGACAAAAAGCAATGAGGCATCTATGACATTTTTATCTCAGCAAAATGCTCTGTTAACAAACAAATCCAAGAAAAGGACCTTTCCCTACAAGACTGTCATGAGCTCTAGGTTTGTCAAGACTTGCTAGAGAATTAAATGAAATGCCATTTGTCTTGGCACTTAATACTAACACAAGTTGTTATTTAAGTTTTTCACATGGGCCCATATTTTTTCTCTTAAGTAAGTTGTATGGTCATAGGAAGTAGGGAGCAGATTTTTTTCTCTTCTTTTCAGGAATATGTTTTTATCGGTTTTAGAGAGAGAGGAAAAGAGAGAGAGAAACATCAATCAGCTGCCTCCTGCATGCCCCCTACTGGGGATCAAGCCTGCAACCCGGGCACACGTCCTGACCAGGATCAGGAATGGAACTGGTGACGCTTAGTGCATGGAACAGCGCTCCGCCAACTGGGCCACACCGGCCAGGGCTGACACACATTTCTTTTGCATCTTACTCTTCCACCGCACGTCTCTACCCAAATAGCACGGATGCCGCACACTGGCCCCTACCTGAGGGCCAGGGATGATGGTAGTGTGTTGTTTTGTCCAGAGTATATTTTTGAAAAATTTTGAATCACTTGCCAACCTTTAAAAATGGGAAGATTTCACAACCGTTTCCTGAAAAACCTGGCAATCCTGAGCGAGCACTCATGCACAGCTCTACTAGCTGGAGCTGAGTGCCACCTGCCCCCTTTCTAGGCGTGTATTTTCCTGTTTACCACTTTCCTCCTGATTATTTCACTCCCTTGTCACCTGCCCGGCCGCTGTAGGCTTTTGTGTTTACAACTCTTAGGGAAGACAATAAATGATCTGAGAATGGAAATAACTACACTCTGTAAACACAGCTAGGCAGCCCTTAATGTCCATCTTAATGGGCAACATGTTTGTTTTAAGCAGCTAAAATCAAAATTCTCATTTTAGCCACTCACTGGAGACATTAACCTCACCTACTAATAATGGAGCTGATACTGGATCAGAAAAGCGGCCGCCTGCAAGAACAGGGAGCTGCCAGCCCAAACAATCACGTGCAAACGCCTGAGACTCAGAGCGCATAACATTGTTCCATGAACACTGCGCGTTCCCTAGAAACACGTGGAAATCACAGCACTCATGACACTGAGTGTTCTGGCAGCTGCCCAACAGATCTGGGGATTGATATAGAAATCCCGAGCCTGCTTGTCAACTCTAACCCACTCTGATTTCTCCTCTTTGGGACATTTTATCATAGACTACTGTGATCTAAAATTGTTTTCATGTCTTCCCTTCCCCACTGGACTGTGAGCTCCTTACAAACTCCTTTGATATCCTTCTCGATGCCTAGCATAGTAGATCGGGGTGAGTGGGTGGGGGTCCTTAACCTGGGGCCTGTAGATCGGCTTTGGTCATAGGCAAAAATCCAATTGGGTTATCAGAGCTTCTTATTAAAAAGATGCACACTCCATACTTAGGGCTTCAAGACTGGGGAAAAATTTTAACTTTAAGGTCTTTGTAACAGGGACAACAGTTAATGAAATGGATGGTGGCCTTGATGACACTCACCTGGTCCGTTAGTTCCCATTCCCAGTTATTTGGCATTTGCATATTTGAAAAGCATAGCTTTTATGCTTTCATTAAGGTCATGGGTAAAAACTGTTAAGCTACACAGGGTCAACTCATGTATCATGCTGGTTGAGGCTAAGTCAGGAGGGAGCAAAACTGCCATTCTCTGGGAACACTCGTCCAATTAGGTACAAACACCCTTATCATAATATTTAATTCATATTTCTCTACCTTGTCTGAAAGGATGCCGCAAGAATCTTCTGGGTGCCTTTAAATCAAGATTCATAAAACCTGAGCAACCTCCTTATCGGTGGTTAATTTAATGACTCTCAGAATAGAAAGTGTAGTTAATTTGAGATAAATTATATCTGTATGAAGCTCTGCAGGTTTGTGGATGACATGTGTTTCTTCTCTAAATGTACATAAACCGTACGTTTACTAATCCCTGCTCAAATTATGCCAAGGAGCAGTCTCACTTATATCTGGGTTCCAGAATGTACCTTTTCCTCATTTAGAAAACTGGGATGATATTTGCTTATCTCCTGCCTTTGGACGACTTTTCCATTTGTCTGATTTCTGAAAGCTGACACTCCGTGGTTTTCCTATTCTAGCTTCAAGTTCTTTCACCTAGGAAATGGCTCATCTGGGCTGAGGGACAAACATATTTGCAGTAGTTAATGTGACTCTCATTATCACCTATTCTGTCTCCACCAGGAACACCACCAGTGTCAGGGCCTTTTTGCTTAGTTGAGAAGAATTAAATTGAATAACTCAGCTGGGCTTTTTCCTGGCAGTAAAGCAACACTTTCTCTATGTGATCCCTTCTTGCTGTGCACATCAACACCATGTTTACTGAGGACCCAAGTCCTAGGCTCTGTGCTGTCTTTTGGGTGCTTTTCTTACACTAAGGCTACATACCTCCTCCACTGCGTATGCTCCTTTAAATTCAGAGATCATCAAAAGCATCCCTGTGCCATCCCACATTAAAAACCAAACTTTGGTTCTTTTTGTCCTCTTAAATTTCCTGCACTTTCTCTTACTTATTGAAATTATTTGCTCTCTTAGAATCTGATTTTTAGTTTTATAACCTTCCCAACATTGCTGAGTCAAATATCCTTTAGAGACACTCACCATAGAACAATACCTATATTATTTTTAAAAATTTACTTTACTAAAGTCTTGGGCAGGGCACGCTTAGCAAACTCTAAGATGCCACGGTCACATTCTGTTACTTTTGCATCACTAAAGGGCTCCTGTAAGTCAGAATTCAGTCAAGAATCGTAGTGCATTTGATGCTCATTGAGAAACCGGCCTGAAACGGGTTGGAAGTAATGACGGGCTGGCAGTTTGACCACCTCTTTGTTGGTCTCATGTTTGACTGAATTGACAAGAAGTATTGAGTTAATGAGACAGGGTTTGGTTTCCAACTGTGTCTAAAAATTGTGTATTGTTGCCTTTGGCCAGATGCACACATTTTATAACACATACCACGACTTCTGAGAGCTCGGATCTTCACCCTACTCTTCCCCAAGCACATCATCACCCAGGATGGCAACCTCCCTGTTTATATTTCCAGCTTTGGCTGAGCAGAAAAGTCAGAAGACAAGGTATACCAGGAAAAAGGGCATATTTTCCCATATGAAAATGGAACAGGAAACACATGTTGACCTGAACATGTGGACAGATCAAATGGCCCGTGTACTTCGTTACAAAACTTCTTGCTAGTCAGCTGTTAGAGAGTAAAATGCAAAAGGAAAAGTTAAGATAATAACCCTTCGATCCATAAGCTTCCTACTCCCAAGGGGAAAGGAGGACTTTTTAAAAGCTAAAATGCACAGTCAATTTAAAATCGGGAGTCGTGGTGCTTGGGAATGTATATTACCCGGTAATGTTTCTGAGCATTAGCTTGGTTGCTAGGAGCCAAGGTTTATTAAAGGGAAAGAGGGGTAAGGTAATTATCCTGGGAAGTCTGGAAAGAGATTTTTGTGAAGCGAGCTGCAAACACAGAATATGGGAGGCTTAGAAAGGGGTAGGAGAGAATTTTATCTTAAAAATTTTTTTTTCAAATACAAAGGTAGAAAAATGTTTAAAATGTTGGTGGAAAGTAGTGAGCCAGTTAAAGGAGTCACATACGGAACACAGAACACGGCACGTACACAGGGGCTTCTTCTTAGGAATAAGAAGGGTCTTTAAATAACGACCTGCCAATGTTCTACATCACAGCCACTGGTGGGCAGAAAACTGTCCTACAAAGATGTCCATGTCCTAACCCCTGGGGCCTGTGAATATGTTATGTGGCAACCAGGAGGTAAGACTGCAGAGGAAAGCAAGGCCGATCATCAGCTGACTTTACAATAAAGGGGTGACCCTGGATTAGCCAGGAGGGCTCAATGGAATCACCAGGGTTCTTTCAAGCATCAGGGTAACACCGCCTGGGAAAGACAAGCCTTCGCTGGCTCTGGAGTTGGAAGGGAATCATGACACATGGCGTGCAGGCTGCCTGGGAAAAGCCAGAAAAGACAAGAATATGGACTCTCCCCGTAGGTCCCCCAGAAAGGAAAGTGGCCCTGCTGCCACCTGGATCTCGGCACGGGGAGACCCGCGTCAGACGTGTGACCTACGGAACTGGAGGCTAACCCATGTGTGCCCCATAAGCCATCAAGTCTGAATTTGTTACAGCAGCAGCAGAAAACTAAGGTAGTAACTTACATACGAGAACCTAGAACACTATTGACATTCCCAGCAATAAACGCGCTCCTCGTGCTGAACTGACTGCAGAAAATAAACGCTGGCTCACCTTTTTATAGGTCTTCTCTTCGCTTTGTTTGCCAGGTGCTGCATCTCCATTGTCCGCAGCAGACGACATCTGCAAGAAAAAAGTGTTCCCGTGCGAATTCACAACTCGGCTCTGGAATACGATCTGCTAATAATATGGTTCACCAGTGGATCTATTTTGGTTAAGTACATTTTTGTTGTTATTGCTGCTGTCTCCAAGAAAGGAAGAGATTTCTCAGAATACTAAAAAAATCAGTGGTCCCGATCTTTCCAAAATAAATCTGTACTTCTAAATCGTGTTGGTAGTGTGCTTTACTCCATAGGAAAGATGCTATGGAAGTCCAAGCCTATAAAGTTTCTTTCTGCAAAGCCTTTGAAAATGTTTTTTCCTTCTGGTTATAGACGCTTCCTGTAAAAATCTGGAAAGTACCAAAAAATAAGAATCAGAGGACAAAATGACTCAATTCCGCTACCCTTGGGCAACTCCACCATTCAGTCTGGTACATGTGTTGCCACCTTTTGTTCCATACCCTTTCATACTAAAAATATTATGATACCATCTTACCCAGCACTTTTCACTGCACGTTTATGTGATAAGCATTTTCCTATTTGATTATAAAAATCTCATTGTAAGAACAGATACCACTGTGCAAAAACAACTGTGTGTTATTAAAGGATAGTCGATGTGGCCCAAGGATTTTGCCTCTACAAATGATTATGTTAGGCCTGGCCAGTGTGGCTCAGTTGGCTGGGCGTCATCCCGGGCCCCCGGAGGTTTCGGGTTTGATTTCCAGGCAACGGCACATGCTTGGGCTGTGGGCTCGGTCTCCAGTGGGGCATGCAGAAGGCAGCCGATCAATGTTGCACTTACATGGATGTTTCTCTCTCCCTCCCTCTCCTTTCCTCTCTCTCAAAATCAATAAACTATTCTTTAAAAATATATATATGTATAAATTTATGCTTCTGTCTTTGTCCAACTTCAATGTTTTCTTGGACTAGATACCTAGAAATATTAGGCCATTAAAAAACTGAAAGTTCTAACTATATACTGCTAAATTACTTTCCAAGAATATATCCATTTACACTGTCAGCAGTGAGTGGGAACTGGTTTCATTACATGCTTAGTAATCATTATTATCATTTTAATTATCTTTTCTAATTTGACAGGTGTAAGAAAGCATCTCCTAATTTTAATTTGCATCTCTGAAAATTATTAGTGAAGGTTAACATTGTTTACATACTTTTACTTAAAGCTCTTTGCATTTCTTCTTTTGCGTTTTTCATTGTTTTTGTTCATTCATCTCGTAAGGGTCTTAGTTTTAGTTACTGATTTTTACCTGTCGTGGTTATTGATAGTTGTTTCTTTATTGATTTTTATGTATTAATGTTATTAATGTTTCCAAGGACATTATTAATATTTTACTTACTGCTGTCTTTAAATTCATTTGATAATTATGACAGAGAAGTTTTACGTGTTTCATACTCAAAACTATTGCCTGCCTTTTTGGTTTCTTCCAATGCTTTTAAATAAAATATTTTTTTCCATTGGGAGATACCAGATGTTTAAACATGTATTTCTCTCACTTTTTAATGACAATTTTTTTTTCATTTAAATTTTAATGCATTTGAGTTTTTAAAACCACTTACTTATGTGTAAACAAGGACACTACATAATCAGGGAACCATGATATGTAAGGGTTTTATCTGAAACGGCATGAAGAGCATTCTATACACCAAGGAGCAGTAAAACTTTCTCATAAGCCTTTGAAGCACATTTTAAATCTTGGGCTTGTGTAATAAACATAGCATTTGCGAAACCTAAGACTTGCCCAGCCACTTCTCTGCACTGGAACTAAATGCCCGAGTTTACTCACACTGCCATGATCTTGATGTGACTCAAAGACATCCAAGAAAATGAAAGAGCAGACCATGGCAAGCCAACCAGTCAGACCTACTCTCACTGCCCACCAATCAAATCATTCTCTTAAATTTTCAGTTTGTTTTTGTGTCCATTCGTTCTGTCCCTATGAGAAAAAGTAGTTTTCAAGAACAGATGTTACACACTCTAGTGCTTCCCATGCCGTATCTGCTAAACTCATTTAAAGAATAATTAATTTTTCTAGTCTTTTCATAACAATTTGGTAAGTTTAGAATAATATATTAGTGGAATTAGGATATCTGAAAGGTTGTATAATATCAGGCTCTGGGCCCCATTTCACCCAGAGTAAAAGCCGAAGTCCTTACAGTGGCCTTTGAGGCCCCGTGTCGCTTGCCTGTCCTCTTACTACACCTTCTCTGACCTCAGCTCTTCTGAGTTACTACCCCCTCACTCCCTCTGCTTCAGATATTTTTGTTCCCCAAACACATCAGAATGTTGCTGCATTACGGCTTTTGCTTTACCTATTCCCTCTGCCTGAACGGTCTTAGCATAAACAGATAAGCATAAACCTCTGCTTATCTCCTTCAGGTCTTTGCTCAAGTGTCACCTCCTGTTTGATGCTTAGCTTGACCATCCTATTTTAAACTGTAACCTGTTCAGCTCCTCCCTGCCCCCACACACTGATTCCCCCTTAGCTCGCCTTGTCTTTCCATTTATCCATGTCTAACGTACTACAGAGTTTACTTTGTTTGTTAGAGTGGGGTTTTGTTTGTTTTGGTCTGTCTCCTCCTGAAGAATTTACACTCCCCCGAAATAGGAATTTTAGCTTGTTTGGTTCACTAATGTGCCTCAAACATTTAAACTGTACCTGGCACCTAGTAGGTGCTTAATAAATATTTGTAGAATAAATGAATAAATCAGTTGATAAGGAAGATAAGAAGATGCCATTAGGTCAATGTAGGCAGCACTGGTTCCACCTGCCTGCGTGCTTTGCTTGGGAGGAGAGCTGAGCCCTTGAAGGAGGGTGATGAAGACATTACTGAGGAGGCCGACACCCTCTGTCACACTGCATGCAGGACACCTTGAGAGGTGCCAGTGGCGTGGCAACGAGAGATAGTTGGCAATATTAACCTCCTATAACTTCCTCCATAAGTGAAAAGGGCTTTTAGGCTATAGGTTTTTCAGTAGAAATAATATCCATATGGGATTTAAACCATTTTTTAAACTATAAACTGATACTGAATATGCCACATTTTCATTTTTCTGACATAACTGCTCTCGAACTATCTACAAACTAATTTGGAATTAAATTAAGTTTCAAAAACATGAGAAGGGCTCCTTGATTTTAATCAAATATATGATTATTCATTATTTTTTAATCATTTTAAAATTTTAAATTAATTTTAGATTTAGAATATTAAAGGTGATACTTGTTTTATGCTAAGAAAAGTAAAACATGTATTTTATTTGACAAAATAAAAAGAAGAAAATAAAACTATCACCTTTAATCCAACTATCCAGAAATAATAATTGTTAATATTTGGCTACTTCACCATTTGATCTTTTCTAAATGTGTTTATTTTTAACAAAACTGGAATTGTATATTGTATACAACTTTGTATTTGCCCTTTTCACTTACCTTTATATCATAAACATTTTTCTGTATCACTAAATAGTAATTAGAAATAATTTCTAATGTCTGAATAATAATATAAATTTTTATCATGATTTAATACTTATTAATGGACATGCCAGATGCATCCTATTTTTCTATTACAAATAAAACTATACTCTGTGTTCTTATTCCAACAGCATGTCTAATTAGAGCTTCCACAGACTCCCAGTACAATGACCACTGGGTAAAACATATCTACTTTATATCTCTGCCAGCACCAAGTATTGTCATTTAAAAACAAACAAACAAGACACTGCCAATTTAACTTTGGGCAAAAATACCATTTTACTTTGCATTTATCTGATTAATAGTAAGGGTTAACATTTCTTGTCATGTTTGTTTCTTTATGTTCCTTTAGCGAATTGTCCATACAAAGCTTTAGCTCATTTCCATATTAGGGTGTGTTTGTGTCTCCAAATTAGTTTGTACTAATGATAGTAAAGAAGAGTAGGGCCAACAGAATGAACACTCCCCTAAAGAATGCCATTTCAGTAACTTCACTTCTAAGACTTTGCAGCTTTTAAAACCCCCAAAACTTCAAGAGCAACTCTGAAGGGTCCTTGAAAAAACAGCCATAATGAGGAGTTGACTAATTGGCATAAATGAAGGACAGACGAAGAGATGGTCTACTTTATTATTTTATAAATCACCCCTGACTGGACAGCAGGGAAGGGGGGGAGAGGAGGAGGTCAACTTCTGTTTTTTAAAAACAATTCCCTTTAAGCAGCACAAAACAGATAATGATAATGAAGGGAAGTCATGAAATGTCACCTAGATGCCAAGGCTTTTTCCTGCAGGGTGATGCTTAACAAAGGTCACACGAACCTATGAACCAAGGCGTCTGTGTGGGAGGCAAACGCGATGCCTAGTGTGCCCTGGTCAACTGCAAACGGCTATTAAAATGATGACAGTGGCAACGACTCTTTGTTCCTAGACCTGCTATGTTCCTGCATCAGTTAAGTGTATCACTTATAATTATGAAAGCCACGGTAAGTATGGATTAAAATCATTGTTTTCAAAAACTTTATAATCATATATATCTCTGTATGCACATAAAAGGAAGGAGAAAAGAAATTCATAGAAATCCTGGTGATTATCTCTGGATGATGGGATTATGATGCTTTGGGTTTTCATTTTATATATGCTATAGTCTTTTCTTAAATTGAATTTACTGGGGTTAAACTAGTTAATAAAATTACATAAGCTTAAGGGGTACAATTCTGTACTACATCATCTGTATACTGTGCTGTGTGTTCAGCATCCCAAGTCAAGTCCCTTTCCATCACCATTAACCCCCCTTCCTTACCCTCTCCTACC